GTCTGAAGCTTCTTCTCTTTTATTAAAAATAAGTATGTATTGAGCTCTGAGTCCATGAGAGATCTGAGTTAAAATACATCATATACTGTGCTTTCCAAGTTTGGCACAGAAGAGAACTTTCAATCCATCTTAATTTGGGAATTTATTGCTTTCTAGTGGATGAGTTTTCTCTTCCACCCTTATATTTTCTGAAGCTTGAGGGACTAAAAGAACCTCTGTACCACCCCGAGCTTTACTCGCTAAGCAGATGATTTGAAATCCCTGCTGATTTGAAATCCTCCATTCTTTTAAAAACTCAGCAGGAAAGTGTCCAGTTCTTTTAACACACTCTTTCTGTGGTTTCTTCATGTGAACATGGCCAAAATGGAACTTCTAATATTGTGGACTATTATTAAAAATTAGTTTGGTTACAGGAAAGAATCTTGGTTTAGGATGTAGAGATTAAGGCATTAGTTCTGTCTCTGAAATTTAGTCTGTCATGGCACAAAATATCCTTGTTTGCCACATTTAAGTTATTATAAAATAAAAGATCAAACATGAGAAAATTCAGGCTCATAGAAACAAAGTTTCTAGCTGCAGGGGATTACTGGAACTGAATTAAAGCAAAATAATTTTGGGCATCTTGTGACATTGTGAAGCTAGACTTAAGGTAATTACATCTCGATTGATTTGGCCTAGGTACGGTGCCAGACTTGGGCTTCTGGAGATCTGTGTAGGGCACACAGGCAGAGCGTGGTGCAGTTGCTATGGAAATCATCTTGTAGTACCAGGGGCTGTACTGTGTCCGCGGAGTGTGTGAAAACCTAGATATGTTTGATTGTCTGAGTTGTGGAGAGTAAGACCAAGGAATAGGAAGGGAACGTGGCTTATGAAAGTTAGAGTACCGGATTAGGAGGGAAGAGGAAGGACTTTTTCAAGGGGAACGAGGCTCACCAGGACCATTCAGAAGCGTCCTGAGACTTGAATTTTGGGTGACCTGTGTATGAGCAGATCAGCCGTGCTCTGCTATTTGTGAAACACAGAGAGGCAGCGGGCGAGTAGTCGGTGAGCTCAGACTTATTTCCCCAAGATGCCCTGTGCAGGAGAGAAGTGAACAGGGCAGGAGAGTGTGCGATTACGTTGTGGTAGATAGAAAGCAAGGGTCAGGGCTGAACTTTCTGATAGAACCGTTAGTCTTAAGGCTGCTGTAGAGTTTTCAGCGTTTCGTGAATGCTGGTTCAGGCACCACACTCGAGACATTTTGCCATGCAAAAAATAAAGAATTTCTTCTTTATTTTTAAACTTGAATGTATTTTAAACAAGAACTTTATACATCTGTTGTGTGCTAAGTCTTGATGTGATAATTCCAGTTTTTCCTAATGTCCATTGAAATCAGCATACAGAATTAGTATAAAAGCTGTCTATTTGTGGTCCCGTTAAATTATCTTAAGGCATACTCCTGTCCTTCAAGTGTATGTACAGCTTTCCAGAGTAGGTGGCAGAGTGCCAAAGGTTGGTAGTCCGAGGGCAAATCCACAGACTGGAAATGGGCATTGTGGGTAGGATTTCTAGAAAGATTCACAGCTTTGGGTGGGAACTGGTATTCTTGTAGATTATTAGACTAAAGCAAGTTTGGATTAGACCTAAGTTTAAATTTATTATTTTTAAACAACAACAATAAAGCTGTTGAATACCATTTAGGCTACTTGTTTCTAGGCTTTGATGCTTTTGCCTATTACTTTCTTGGCAGAAATTATTTTCTGGAAAGTTTCAAACTTGTCTGGGCTTTAAAAAGGGGAGCAGAATGTCATCTTGTTCATTTTCATGATGAGATCTACTCAACACTGCTAAGCCCCAGAATTCATTTCTGAGCCAGCCTCTGTGCTGCCTTTCAAAAACCCATTGATCAGTATTTATTTACTAATGTATGTGTTTATTATTACATGTTTGTAATACACTCATTGTGGAGAATTGGTACATGGGCAGAACACATCTCATTTGCCAGCATCTGATTCATTTATTTGTAAGTTCTTATAAAGTTAATTATCATACACAGTTAACAGCCAGACTAATGGGCCAAAAACATGAAACAATAAGATTATTACACTAAATCAAGGTATAGTTTTAGATACATGGTACATGATAGGTAACAGTAACTTTTTTTCTCTTTTTTTCATGTTGTCTGTATTTATTTTGTACTTTATTTACATATTTACTCATGTAAGAGAAACTACGGGATATATAAGTGTGTCTGATTTACTTCACTTAACATTATGGTTTAAAGGTGCATCCATTTTCCACAAATGATGTAAGTTTATCCATCTGTATGGCAGAGTGGTGCGCTCTCTGCCTTTCCTCTGTCAGGCTCAGTGTGTGCTCTGTGATGTTCCAGGAAGCTGTGGCTCCGCCTCCTGGGAGGCGTGGCATGTAAACAGTCTCCTCCACTGTGATAGGGTGTGTGCCAGATGCCAGAGAGGCTAACTCCTCACACAGATCAACATAACTTGAATAGATCTTCATAACTTGGAGAACATTGAGGACTGGGGACATTGAGTGGGATAAAAGGCAGGGAGCACACAATTTGGGACCCTGCCATTGCTGGGTCCTTTCTGTGTAGGTGACCCTGGTGGATGAGTGTTCTGCAGTTTCCTGCAGGATTCCGCATTGTCCTACATGATTTTTCCCACAGCTGTTAATGTTTTAAATGTGCAGTCATTCATCCTCCTGTTGCAATACTGTCACGAGAATTTGGAGCAGTGAGCAGGGAATCATCAGAAATACTTGTAACGTGGACAATGTCATCTCTGAAGCTACCTCTCCATCGGGTTCTGTGATTCAAGGTCAACTCTTCTCGTAAATGTACTCAGGCTTGTCCTATACCTGGAATGCTACCAGAGTAAGGCAGAAGGAGCTGGAACTGGTATAGGAGGGTGCAATTTCTCGGGTTTAGCTCACGAACTCCAGTGTATGGACTGGGGCGGCCCTTACTGTTGCAGTGACTCCATGGCTGGGTAGGAAGGAGGTATGCGTAGGGGAGGAGAAAGAGAGAAACAACACAGCCTTTGCTGTGGCAAAACCTCGGGGAATGTACAGAATTTGAGATGGAAAGTTCTGGTCTCTGCGTATCTTTTTACCTACTCCCTGTACTTCAAGTCTCCCTCACCTCACCTCCATTAAAAAAAAAAATAGTTGTGAGAGAACCTCAGCTGCATGCATGGGGGAGCCAAGTAAAGGGGAACCAAGTCTTCCAAATTAGCCTCTCTCTGGGGGCATAAATACCCCCACTATGAATTGCATTGATGTCAGCATCCATTAGAGATTAAATATACACATAAAGGCTTAAAAAAAAAAAGTGTTAGTAGTATTCTCTGAAAGTAGCAAGAAATAGTCCCCTGGAGGAATGGAACCTAATTGGAGACAGTCACTTTCTGTGTTGCCAGAGGCCCCGCCCTCCTCAGGCTTAACCTCAAAAGACTGTTGCTTTTGGCTGAGGCCCTTGGAGGATCATCTGACAGCCACCTTGAAACTTTGGGGTGCTAGACATAATACTAGCAGGGTCTAAGCATTATTTCTGGCTTTTAAGTTCTATTTAGCATAGCTGTATTAAGTTTTTACCCACTGGAAGTTCTGCTCTGGGACTGAAGTGCTCCCAAAACTACTGCATTGGGTTTTTGCATGTGTGTGTTTACAGTCTAAAACACATTTGAGACTTCACAGACTACCAGTGTAAGGCAGCACCCTCAGGTGCCATATTGTCTTTTGGAGACAGAGCAAGAGTGTGGCTTGACCTCCAGTGTGTGTTAAAATTCAGTTTTTCTCCTCTGAATGTGATGAGGCAGATTTTCCTTGGAAAAAGTTTGCGTTCAGCTTGGGAGGCTGAGTTTTCACCATCGGCTTTTCCCTTTAATAATTGGAAACCACTGCTCATTATTTACACAAGACTGTCTTTTTCTGGTCTGCTTCCTATAACCTTTCCCCTCTTAAGAATTTTAAGAATTCCCTGACTTTCCTCTGGGGGATTTTATGGCTGCTTTATCCCAGATGTGGGACATAGATGAGGCAGAGGTTTCTTTGGCTTTCTCTGAGTGTTCATACATTTGAGAGATATTCTTTTAACCAGTGTACAAATCTGCCCCTGACTGCAAAAAGTAAAGTCAGGTAGTTAAGAAAGTATGTGAGTGTGGTTTAAATTTCTGACTTAATTAAATCACCAAAATTCCATATGCAGAATGAAAAAGTAGACAGTTTCAAATAATCAGAGGGCATGTGTTACTTCACCTTTTTAATCCTGAGTGAGAGCGTGTCACTTTCTATTCCGGCAGTCTGGTCTTCACTTGGGCTTGCTCGCGATCTCAGGGGCTTGGCACATGTTTGTTCTGTCTTTATCTTTTTCTGTCTCCACCTTCTATTCACACAAAGAGGATGTTTAGTCTTATTCATAATATTGTATCTGCTTACATTCTCATAGATACATCGATTCTAATCCCTGGTTCCGAATGTAAATTGCTAGGAAGAGGGAGAAATTAGAACAAACGAGGCAATGTTAATAAATGCAGGATTTTTTAGTTCATGTTGCAATGCCTATTGGGATTCCCAGACAATATGTCACCACCAGTTTTTGGTTATTGTGGTTTATGTCTTAATAGCTAAAAAAAATACCGTAAGATCTAAACTTTTCTGTATGGTAATATGTGAGGAAAACACCAAAAAGGCTTTTTCTTCCCTACTTGAACAAATACATTATTTTCCTATGTTCCAAGTTGTGTTTTCCATAATGAATATAATTATTTTTATGAATACAATTCTGATGTAGTGTGATTCATTCTGTAAAATCAGGATAGGTTTTAGCAAGTTTCTTCGTAACTCAAAATTTTTTTGAATTTAAAAAATCTAAATTCGTAACCCTTATTTTTCAAGATTGAGGCATTTTCTATAAGAACTGTGTCTCCTGTAAATTTGTTCCTGTGCTATGTTCCCTAGGCTGACGTGTGCTTTTGGACTTTGTCTTCCATCTCCTCTAGGATCTTTCAAAGATGATCTGGCTGCCCTGGAGACTTGGAGATCTGATGTCACAATGAGGACTCACACACGGGGGGCTCCCAGTGTGTTTTTCATATGTCTGCTTTGCTTGGCGGCAGCCCGCACCACAGACGAGAACCCTGAAGTCATGATCCCCTTTACCAACGCCAACTACGACAGCCACCCCATGCTGTACTTCTCCAGGTCGGAGGTGGCGGGGCTGCGGCTCCAGGCCCAGGGCTCCCACGAGCACATCGCGGCCAGGCTCACGGAGGCTGTGCACACCATGCTGTCCAGCCCCCTGGAGTACCTCCCTCCCTGGGACCCCAAGGACTACAGCGCCCGCTGGAATGAAATCTACGGGAACAACCTGGGCGCCCTGGCAATGTTCTGTGTGCTGTACCCGGACAACCTGGAAGCCCGGGACATGGCTAGAGACTACATGGAGAGGATGGCGGCACAGCCTAGTTGGTAGATTTTTGTCTTTTTTTTCTTCCTGTATTCACTTTGGTGTTGAAAGAAATAAGGTCACAGGCAGATGAAACCCCAGAGAATCAGGTGTTGGCATAGGGCTTTGTGTGTCCCTCTGTGGCCGGGGAGCGGGGAGGGGCCCTGTTACTCGTGTTGCCTGTGGCTTGAGAATGGCCCACAGGGTCAGAAGACCTGATCATTTCCACGTTTTGGAAGAATAAGGATGTTTGCATGCAGTTTACCGAAAGAGGAAATAATCCGCAGAAGTAGTCAGCAGCAGCACACGCTGACTGTTGAGAATTCTTTCCAGCTTTAAGTGACGTGCACAGTGTGTACAGTTGTGTGTCGCTTACTGATGGAGACATGTGCTGAGAAACATATCTGAGGATGACTTCACCTTTGGGCATATGTCATGAAGTGTACTTACGCTAACCTAGAGAGCGTAGCCTATTACACTTGGCATTAATAAGTCAAAAGACAGGAAATAACAGGAAACATGAGCTACTGCTGGCATAATGTGATGCAGTGTTCTATAGTACCTATTTTTAACAAGTAGAAGGAATGTGCTCTAAGGTAACGTTAAAAAGCATAGTGTAAAAAAACAAATTAGTAAAGTGCTGTCATTATCAAGTGTTGTGTAACATACATAATTTTATGTGCTGTGCTTTTATATGGCTGGAAGTGGAGTCGGTTGCAACATGAGCCATGATTATGTTGTAAGGAACTCTTCACCCCAGCTACAGTTCCATAGGACCAACGTCACCAAATGTATGTGGTCCTGTGCTGACCGTAAACCATTATGCAGCACATAACTCTATTCCCATTTTGACTGACCCCCTTCAGGGGTTAAAAGTTTTGCCAGCAAGAAATTTCACCCCATTAAGATTTATTTGCCCTCTGTGACACTAAGGCACCAAAAGCTGATGTGATAGGTAGGATTGACTAGTGGTTTATATACAAGACTCTATCTAGTTAACCAGTAGACTGTCCAATCCAATAGGAAAACCAGTGTTGCACTGTGATTGTGTGAAGGCAGCTAATTATGATATATTTTATTTGTAGAAAGATTCAAGAACAAACTTCCTGTCCCCTTTTGGTTACCTTTGGTTTGTTTTATTTATTTATAATTAATGCTTCCCTAAAGATATGGGGTAAATTGACTAAACTGGGGATTCTACAGGAGTTTCAGTTTTAAAATTGTGTAAGCTGCCACTTTTCGTAGGAGTGGAGAGATCTCATTGTTAAGAAAAAATCAGTGGATGCATTGAATTCTTTGATGAATTGCTTCTTACATAAATTATGTCTTGCATATCACAGATGTGAAGAATGATGATTTACCAGTCCTCTGATAAATATCTGCAATTTCTTAATGAAAAAGAACATAGATGAATCAGCAATGAATTAGGATTATTTTTAAGTGTGTGTAGTTATTTAGAAGCTTACAATATATTAGGCTGAAAAGAACCTTTTATTTGGTTTTCTGCAAATACAAGGTGTAGATATGTATGTAGTTTGACTCCGACTCATGTTAATTGATCTGATTCCTGATGCCAAGAAAGAAAATTAAAGATGGTGGAAGCTCATACAATATTTGAACAAGACTATATTACCAAAGGTTCCAATAATTCAAAATGGAAAATATATTTACATTATTTAGGGAGAAGAAACCTCATGGTTTATAACCTCATGTACTTTCTCTTTCCATTTTTGTTTTATGTAAGTGGATTTTGGTGCATTAACATACTGATGGAAAAGTGCTCAGAGATACTATGAAAAGCTATCTGTCACATAAGACTATGAGATGCCTTTTTAAATAATGGTGATCTGGACACAAATACAGTTGTATTAAGAATTACTTGAGACCAGTGCAATTATGATGTAAAACATTCAGGTGATGAATGTTAATGAATAACTCCTTTCGTTAGAGAAGATTAGGCATCTCTGACAAAAATAGATAATTGTGAATAAAATTTTAATTTTCATGTAATTCTTAAAAGTTCAGATTGAGTAGTCATTAGAGGTATGCAGACATTTACTAGGGACAAGAGCTGTCCAGATAAAATTCAGCCCAGCTGTGTATAGTGGTCCAGCTCTATGGCTTATCAATTGGCTTCTTTTTTTGACTTCCAAAAAGCTGAAGTTAGAAATTGAGGTTTGCTGTTACATCTGATTCTAGTTCCAGAAACGAACAGGAATAAACAATTGATCCACTTGAACATTTTAGGTAGTACTTTTTAGTGATTCTACGGGAATTTTAACTTTCGAAAAACAGCCACAATTCCTCGACTCTTAAGCATTCATTTTAGATTTGTGGTTGAAGATAATCACTTTTTGACAAATGATTAAAGAGTTTTACAGTTCAGCTCCCCATTTAAATTGTTCCATTAAATCATGTGTCTTCACTCTGCAAAAAAGTGTATTGTGAGAATTGTCATGTCAGGCTATCATTCACCTATAATTCATTTCAGAAAAGAAGACTGATTCCTATTTATAAAAGAGATCAATAATTTATACCGAAATTAAAAACCTACAGTCCCTTCATCAGCCTGACTATATTTGCTGTTTCCCTTGAAGAACAGTTTTATTCTTGTGAAAACCAGAGATGGCGATTAAATTGTGTTCATTTACATCCCAGGGATTTAATGAAGAATTGGCTCAGTAATTTTAGAATTTGTACCCAGGGTAAAGAATGTACACGTTGGATACTGCAAACCTAAGCTAGGGATATTGCTTTTGTTCACAATTGAGTACAAAAATAATTCAGTGAGAAATTTTGTTATTTTTATTCACGATACAAACAGTTGTACCTTACTCTGATGTGGTGGCAGATTTCTAACGCTGGAGTTACACTACCTGCATTTGTGTCTCCCCTCTTAGCTGTGTTACCTCGATTTATTTTCTTAGTTTGTCCGAGTTTTGGTGTCTGGATGTATAATGTGGTGATAATTGAATTTACTTGATAGCGTGGATTGACGATTAAGTGCGGTAATCAGTGTATTCAACAAAGTCCAGTCACACAGTAGAGTGGCAGTGATGACAGTATTTTCATCTTACTATTTGGCTTATGACTGGGTATATGGCAGTTCTAAGGAAATGGTGTTTATTTGGAGATTTTGTCACTTTTAGTCAAATAGCTCTCAAAACTAGAACGTATGTTTAACTCAGAAATGTTCCTTTGGGCTTTGTTCCATCAAAACTATGAGCAATGTGCCCCTGTCTGCCCTTTTTTAAGCCACACAAGAATCCAATAGAAACACCAGAAAGGAAGCCTGGTATTCAGTATGCATGCACACAGATTCCTTAATGTGATTCATTTCATTGAGTAGTATAAGTGAGGATTTTCAAAGGTCATAGCTACAGATTTACTTAACAGTTTGGGCCATTGTAAAAACAAAAGTTAAGTGGAAAATACCATGTAATTGTATTGTTTTCACTTGTGTACTATAAAGTAGGAAAGTAATTGAAAACCTGGATAGTGGCAGTGGCGGTTGAGAAGTAATAGCTGTCTTATCACTGTGTGTATCTGTGAGCACCAGATGACTGGAGACCACAGAAAGATGAGACTTCGCTGTGAGCCGCGTCTGTCTTTGCAGAGGCTCCCCGCGGGAGCTCTCCTGGAAAGTCTCTTCTGTTTCTCTCTTGTTTCTGCTGGTACTGTCACATTGTTCATCTCTGAAAGAGTTAACAAGAGTTATTTAAGTGTGTCTTAAACTTTCAGTTTAGAACTTTCAATTCTAAAAATCAAATTTAACAATTTTTTTTTTGGTCTTTTTCGTTTTTATCAGTACCAGGGATTGAACTCACAACTGCTTGCTTGCAAGGCAGGCGCTTATGTCACTGAGCTAAAACCCCAGCCCCTTAACAATATTTTTTAACCCAATGTAATGAATTATTTTCGTATCACCTATATTTTTGTTTCCATTCTTTTTTCTCCCTGTAGCTCTTATATTCTAAAGAAGAGCTAGGATCTGGGGTCCCAGTTAGCGTGGTGTTAATGTAAGGGCTTTATTAGAACTTAATATCCCATCATTCTTAGAAGGCGTAATTAGAGCATGAATCTAGGGCTGGGAACCGTGGAGAGGTGCCGTTACAGGTGTGGTTACAGCCGACTAAAGGGGTCACTAGAGCAGGTTCTGTGTATGGCAATCAGCCCATGGGACTGCCTTCATTCATAAAATATTTAAGTCTTACATAGTAATGTGCTGTAGATAAATAAAATTCTCCATCAGTTTTTTTCCCTCAAGAGCTTAAGCATTAAGGTAGGAAAATAATAAAAATAATGTTTAGTAGAGATTTTTTTAAAGTTTTTAGAATGAGTTTTTGGAATCAGCATCATTATTGTTATTCTACTTTCTGATTTCCTAAAAATGTCATAATATGCATTCATTTTTATTTTCTTTCTACTGTCCTCCACCACAGAGGAGGGAAACACAGAGTGCAAAATTTGAATCGGAAATAGAAAAGAGACTGAAGAAATCAACCAGAGTGAAATAGCTGCTAAATGCCTGTTACATATCAGGATGGTTACCAGTTGGCTCTGAGATACTTTTTGTTTGTTTTTGTTTGGTAGGGGTTGTTTGTCTTTTGGTGTTTTGTTTTGTTTTGTTCTGTTTACGACAAAGAAAGGTAAACTTCCTCAGTTTTGAAGTTTAACAATACCCATGTGATTAACAAACAGGTCACTTACTCTGTGAAAGAAATACTACTGTTGGCGTGTGATCCCAGAGAATTTTCTCCTGGGGTTTTCATGAAGATCCCTCAGTGTTCTTGCCAATGCCATTGCAGTGATGAACTGCACCAGGGTACCTCAGCCTGAGAGTCCTGCGGGGCCTGTTTGAGCATGCACCCATCCCCAAGGGGGCCTTGCCAGCAAAGTCCACTAACCGTATGAGGCAAGGCTGGGAATGGAAGAGATGGACTTAGGTTAGCCCAAGGCACTCTTTAAAAGATCTAGCCTAGCTTGATTCTTCACTAGAATTTTGGATATGTGAAAAAGCCGGGTAAGTGACTGCAGGTGCATCGGGCAGTGCCCTGTCCATCGTGTACCTCTGCTGCGTCCTTGGCTGCTGGTCCACTGTAGGCTTAGCATCATACCTCTCAGCAGATTTTTCTGGTGATCTCCTAGAGCTAACCAAAACAAAACAACAAAAAAGACCCAGTCAGTTATGGGAAAAACTGCAAATCTGTAATCAGTTAAGAAAGATGTAATTAAGTTTACCATATTTCACTTAATCTTGTGGGGTGATGAGTGGCTTTTAACAAGATTTGTCAAAGCCCTAAGTTGACAGAGTTACCCTGTGCCTATTTCTAAGCAACAAGCTTTCATCCTTAAGGGCTTTGCTCTTAAACCTGGGCGAGCAAGCTTGCCTCAGCGTCTCTGGAAGCCTGTCTGTCTGTACGGGCTGAGCTCCCTTTAGTTAACCACAAGTCTTTTGGCCGGTCCCTCCGTCCGCCAAGCATGTTTGGTGTAAGGATGGTCCTTGATCTGTAAGATGCAGAAGATTCCAAAGTTGTCCCAAGTATGGAGGGAAATAGAGCATGCGTGTAAAACTCTTAGCAGTTTTTCTAAAATGTTTATTATCAGTACACAGAAAGAGGTGTGAAGGTGCAGTTTTATTATTTTACGTTTTTTTTGATACACAATATTCCATTTTTCCTACGGATCCCTTTCAGCTGGGTATTTTTCAGAAGTATTCGCTGTGAATCATTCTTTCTCCTCTTCTTCATAGTATTTTTGGTTATCATCAGACAGACAATAAATCACAAGAGGAAAGAAATTACTTCACTTTTGCATCCGAGCCAGTTGGCTACAGGAAATCAAGAGAACTGGGGAGGGAAACAAAGTGGAACTTTGGGACAGAGAAGCAATTGTGTTTCTTTTTTCCTGCAACAGACTGAGTATTAAATCCTTGCCTGTGGTGACATCTGAGGGTATATTGCAAAAGAAAGTAAAATAATAGTAAGAGGGAAAAAGAGCAAACTTACTAGACTGAAATGAACTGGTTGGTTTCATTTTTGCAGGTCCGGAAGTGCACGGTGGGCCTGCCTTTCTCAGCTTGTCTGTCAGGCTTCACTGTAGTTCTCAGCAGCTGTTTCTCAGGCTTTTTGCTTCTCTAAGCTGCAAGTTAAAGCTGAGAATCAAAAGGGAAGGATGTAGCCCGGCCTCACCACTTGGAGCCCAGTATAGAGATCAGATTTTCCTCTCGTGACCTGTGGTGAGGGGTGGGGGTGGGGGGCTGAGCCCAGACAGCAGGAGGAAGCCATTAAGGGGAACTCCAGGCTGGGGAGACCCCGCCCCCAGTTCCTCTAGTTTTCTCTCATTCATAGTTTTCCTTTCTTTTATCCCTCCCTCTCACCCTCTCTTCCTGTTTTCCTCTTTTCCTTCATTCTGTGACCTACAGAAAGCTCTCCTCTTTTACCTGGCTTTAGTAATCCTTACAAACAAAACAGTAAAATTGCTGATGACTGCAAGCCCTTGGACACTGGTCAGGTTCGTAGCAGTTTATAGAGATGTGCACATTACAGAAACGGGGCCATTGGGAATTCAATTCTTCCAGGCCATTTCAAAGGCAGGTTGCTGGGTCACTACAAGTGGATTTTTGGGCAAGAATTGAGGTGAGCAGACCTGTGGCAGGAGGAAGCCTGTGGAGAGAGCTGAGGGCCAGGTGAAGGCAGGCGTGCAGGTGAGCTGTGTGTGCATCTAGAGTATTAGTGAACAGCTGTGTCATAAATCAGTGCACAGTGCACAGCACGCTCAGCTAACCAACAGCTAATCCATCTGCATCTATTTCAAAGGTAAGGGACAGTAAAGTTGTTCTAATAATGCTTTTTCAACAAGTGCTTTAAGATATTTTAATGGCAGCTGTACTCATACACAACTGAAAAAATTCAAAATTAACTTGTTTTGGTAGACTCTGTGGTTTGATCCTAGGATTCAGTGCCACCTTGCTTCTGAGTGACTTGCCCAGTTGTTGCCTTTTAACATGCAGCACAGCCTTGCAGGGGTGCCAGAGGGAGCTGTGCTCAAGGCCTGAGGACCCTCCTCCTCTCTCTCTTAACAGGGTCCAAGTCCTTGCCCCTCACCTGCTACATAACAAACCCAGGTAGTGCAAATGCAAAGTTCCACACAGGCTTTATAACCTGGCAAGTATGAGGTGTGGATTTTGTGCATTCCTAGTTCTGTGTCTTGAGGGAAAATGTTAGCTGGCAAGTGCTGCACGAGGTATATTTATAATCCATTTCCTGGTCGCTTTATAATAATTTTTAAAAGCTGCCTTTTTAAAAGCTACTTAGAGAGTCTTGTTGACATCGAATTCTTGAAATGCTGTGTAAATATTTACGGCAATCGAGAATAATCATGGCATGAATCTGAGCGTAGACTCCCTTCTAAAGCCAGCTAGTGCATTTGACCTCAGGTTGCCTTTCTCTTGTGTCCTTCTACCATGTCAGTTGCGGGGACATAACTGTAATCATACTTACTCCGCCTATCTTATCTCTGCTTCCTTTCTAATGTGAGCACACGGGGTTTGCACAGTCTGAGGAGGAGACAGAGAACCAGATCATTTCTTGAGCCTCTTGAGCCCTGGTTTAGAAAGCTTTGGGATGGCCCAGAGGGATGCATGGGGAAAAGAGAAACTGGTTAGAAGCTGACAGTCTGAGTCTAGGATGGAATTGAAAGACTACATTTAAAGCAGTGAGGGTGGAGAGGAGAGGAATGAATCTAGGAGACACCTAGGCCAGGAAGTGGATAAAGGTTACAGGCTACAGGACACTGTCTGCAAGGATGGTCTTTCAGCCCCTAGGGTGTTCTTAAAAGACAGATTCCAGGGATCCTCCTTCCTACAGACTCGCTGAATCCCGACCTCTTAAAGGAATCCTAGGGACTTTTAACAAGTTTCCTGGGTGAGTGTGAGGTATACTGGAACTTAAATTACAAGAACAAGGGTGCCTGGGGATACAGCTGGATGGCATAATTGTCTGCCTGGCAAGTGCAAGGTTGTACAATTGATTACCAGTACAAAAAGAAAAAGGAGGACAGGATGAAGGGTGACCTGACGACTGGCTGCATGCTGATGCCCAGAAGAGATAGACAATGAGACAGATCACTGGCTTGTGTGAAGAATAGTTTGCATCTTTGTGTCTCACTATTATCCTGTGCATTGTATCTTTGTTGTTATTACCAAATGTGTGGACAGGTGACTTTTAGAACCTTCTGCCCCTGTTAGGATTCCGAGGGCTCGTGGGCATCCCTGGCACAGATACTAAATGTTTATGAGTTTTAGGACCTGCTGACCATATCCACGGCATCTTACAAGCTCACCATCTTCCATTCTGATGTGTTCTGGAGCTTTGGCGTTGCTGCATTGTTCTCCCCCCTCCCCCTTTTTCTCTCTACCCCTGCTACTCTGAATGCATTTTACTCTTGGTGGTTCTTTCACTGTTGAATAAGGCTGAGCATTTCAGGAAAATGTGTTGCCAAGAGGTAAAAAAAAATCAGCCTGTTGTAACGTTCACCGCAAAACATGCCCTCATCCAGAGCTTACGGATTTTCTGAGTCTTTTTTTCTAGAAGGTTTGTGACATTATTGTTTTCAGGGCCATCACCCTCAGATTGGCGGGGTCCACTTAGACTTCTTGCCCTGGCATTTTCAGTTCCATCTTGAGTCGGACCCACCCTGAGCTGGCCTTTCCTTCCGCAGCAGCGCGTGCACCATCCAGACTTCCTCATTTATACTAACTTCTCCTTCCTTTGCATTTTCCGTAACCCAGTGACATTTTTTATTCAACTCATTGGTGTTTAGTAGTCAGTGGGCTGCCCATCTGATCTGATCTGACTGTGTCTTTGAGATGCAGTCCCAAAGAAACCTTCTGCTCCCTACCCCTGCCCTACCTGTGGGATTCAGCTGCTCTAAAGCACCCGTGTAAATTTCAAAAGTGTGCTGTGCCTGCACTGTCTGTTAGTTTTGGGTCATTCCCCTCCCTCACTTGTACATAAGCATCTTGAGGGTGGCATCAACATTTTCATCTTTGAGTCCTAGGAGTTAACATGGTGCACCTGCCACAGGACACGAATTCTTGGTACTGAATGCATGGTCCTTTTGACATATTTTAAGCGTGCTGAGAACAAGAATCCTGACTCCTCACACAACTCACACAAGTTTCCACCTGACTTCTGCCCTGCACACTGTGGCTGTGCCTTTATTAACCTGGCTTTCACTCTAAAGACCTGCCTGCCTGTGGTCAGCCTTTTGTCAGTTGGCATAGTCACAGAGACATTCTCTTGTGACCCTTGGAGTCCCGTAGGAGGGACGTTAGGGTTGACATCTCTGCACAACTCCCCGAAGCATCTCCAGCTCCCCACTCTCAGTGGTACCCTCATACTCCGTGTCCTCACCCCTGATCCCTTGGACTCTGGCAGCTGTCCAATTACAAGGAATGTCCCTAAGTGTTCCCAATCAGATTCACACGAAGAGCTGCAGTTTTATTCATGTTAAGGCCGCCTGCCTCCAGCCTGAAGTGACTGGCAGTGGCATCAGGCAGTAGGAAGCACTATGCAATGGGATTTTAAAGGCAAAGGCTGTGGAACCAGCCTGCCCGGGTTCTGACTCCATGCTCAAGCTGTGTGGCACTGAGCCTGTTGTGGCCTGTGGCTCAGTTTCTTCATCTGAAAATTGGACAGAAATATACTCACCTCCTGGAGTTGTTCAGAGGGTTAAGTGAGCTAATAAAATACCAGTGGCATAAAGTCTTAGGTGAGGTCATCTGTATCACTTTGCCTGTATTTTGCCTTCTTATAACTCAATACCAAGAAAGGCAATTATCATTTTTAAGTAAATGCAGGTATATTATGTATGCATATATTTATTATTAACTTACTCTGTTTTGGACATTTTGCTAAATACTGGGTATACATGAATTTGAGGGCAGGCATTTTTGTTGTCAAGGGCTTTGGCCTGTGAAGATAGAACCTACTGCCCAGTATCAGTGCAGGCAATAAATGCTGTGATCAGCAAGTGAGCAGTGTGTAACGGGAAGACGTGGGCATTCTTGGAAGCAGAACTTTGTATGCCCCACACTGAAGCACTGGAAAAGATGGCAGAGGTCTGAAGAACAAAGACAGTGAGCCCGGAGGTGGAGGAGGGGGCTGTTGGACCGTTTCAAACAGAAATAAGTGACATGCAAAGACCTGATCATGTAAAAGAATAGTGGTTCTGAGGAACTAAAACTTTAGTGTAGGGGAAGACCTGCAGCCCTGAGGGGCGGGCAGAGCCTGCTGCCCCGAGGTCTTGACTGCCCTGCAGAGGAGCTCAGACCTGACTTACCAGCACCACGAAGCCACATGAAATATGACATGATCAGATTTGCGTGTTAAAATTTTTATTGTAAAAATAATAGGACACTAAAGGAATGAACGTGTGGCCTGGAATTCTAAAGCAAACCTTCTGACAGCCACAGAAAGTACAACTCTGCTAGCCGTCCCCCAAAATCACTCCATAGGCCCCAGCACAACTGTGGCACACTCTGATCGTCCTAACACATGTGCGTGCACGCACACACACACAGACTTCATATCTCTCAGGTTGTATGCCTTTGCAGTGTAGTTTATCCTTTGCTCGTGTGTGTGTGTGTGTGTGTGTGTGTGTGTGTGTGTGTGTGTGTTTTGAGACATTACCCAGGCTGTTCTCAGACTCCTGACTTCAGGTCATCTTCCTCCTTCACCTCACTAGTCCTAGCATTACAGGCCTGTGCTGCCACTTCAGCCTTCACACTTATTTTATTTTGCTTTATTTTATTGATTGGTGGGTTTGATTGTGCTGTGATTAGAGCCAGGGCTGTGCACATACTGGCCAAGCACATTATCACAGAGCTGTCACTCCGGCTCCATCTGAATGTCATTTAAGTGATCAGTTCCCCTGGCTTCCGCCTACCTTTACCGTTTACAGAAGAACCTGGGCCCTTTGCCTGCATGACTTCCCACAATTTGCCGCTGATGGCGTGCCGTTCCTGCCATTTAAAGAGTAAGTCCAAGCTTGGATTTTCCTGCAAAATGGCAGCTGGATTCTAAGGTCTGATCCAGCTTAGCTCTGATCACTCTGACACGGACTTACTGATTGTCCCCTCATGCAGAGACATACAGTGGCTGGTTTGGTTTTGTGTCATAGATCTGTAGGAAGAATGACTCTTTGTGAAAGTCACTTGCAGAGATCAGCGAGGAAAATGATTT